TTTTATTCTAAAATATCTCAATTACTTTCATAAAACTGGAAATTATGTTCCTTAAAATATTTAAACAAATAAGGCACCAATGTTTTTGTAAGATATTTACATCTTTTAAGGACATTCGGTAGATTGATTCCCCACTGTTGGTTCAACCCCAAAACTTGTTTGTATTCAAAATTAATTATGACAATGCATATTTATATTGAAACAAACTATCATAAAGGGAATTATATTATATAACAAAGGGCAAGGTCACCAGAGTTCAACTATGTTTTGTTATTATATAGTATGTGGTATGTGGATCATAAATTGTTTCAGTGTATCAAATCAAGTTACCAATTGTCCGGTGAAACAAAATATTATTACATAAATATAGACAATATTTATATGATTAATATTATTATATATTCTTGTAGGGTTCACTGGGACCGTCAGGTAGAAGAGGGAGAACCGGTCTGAAGGGGTCAAGGGTAAAGTGAATAATTTATTTTTATTTATTTTTTTACCAAACTCAAAAGTTATTTGAGTGTTTGCAATTCTTATAACGCGCAGCACGATGTATTGTATACTGGATAGCTCTCTATACTTTAACCCGTGTACTCTCCTAATGTTTTGATCCAGGGTCATCCAGGTACGAACGGTGAACCAGGGTCACAGGGATCACCGGGGCCGAGGGGACAGCGAGGTGCTAGAGGTCAAAGGGGTACGCGTGGACCCAAGGTAAGTTGTTGTACTTTAGATAACCGTAGCCAATGAATTAATTTATGAACTGAACGTTTTCGTGACTTTAACAACACATAGAAAAGACACATGATGGGAGCTATATGTAAACAATGACATTCGTATTTTCTGTGACAGGGTTCTGAAGGCCAAGAAGGACCAGAGGGACAACAAGGAGAAAGGGTTAGTTCATTATCACTGTTTATACACCAGCTATGCGATTGGCTGCGTGAGTAGCCAATCAACGACCACGTTACAGCTGGCGTTAACTTGCACAATGAGCGACAAGCCGTTGATAAGGTGGAGTTATTTTAAGCATTGAAGCCGTAAAGCAAGTGTAGTTTTGGCATATACGTGGGACAGTATCAACAGATGGTTTAAATGATTTGTAGATAGCGAAATTATGTTTATCTTGTCTAGTTTAGCCATTATATTAGTAACTAACACCGTGGGACACTGGGAGTTGTT